GTCTTCCGCCTCAACAACGAGACCGCCCCCGGGACGCTGATAGGAGTGAGGGGTTGTAGGAGCGCCTGCGTGGTTGTCTCCTGGAGGGGAAGGCGCCGGCGCGCTGTGGCTGACGACCGCCTGTTCGGTTTGTAGCACTCCCAGGGGACTACTGCAGCTGAAGGCCGCGCGTTCCAGTGTGAACTCCTGACTCTCTATGCTGCGAGGAGGCTCGAGATATCCTCCACCATCCGCTCGGGGAAGCGTCGTGGACCTCCTCTCGGGGGGGGGCTGGTCTCCGAGCGCAGGCGCGCTCTCTGCGGCATCCCCGACTGTCGCCACGATAATGTTGCCAGGGGGGCGCGCAATTTCGGCCGCATCTTCCGCCTCAACAACGAGACCGCCCCCGGGACGCTGATAGGATTGAGGGGCTGTAGGAACGCCTGCTTGGTTGTCTCCTGGAGGGGAAGGCACCGGCGCGCCGTGGCTGACGACCGCCTGTTCGGTCTGTAGCTCTCCCAGGGGACTACTGCAGCTGAAGGCCGCGCGTTCCAGTGTGAACTCCTGACTCTCTATGCTGCGAGGAGGCTCGAGATATCCTCCACCATCCGCTCGGGGAGGCGTCGTGGACCTCCATTTCAGGAGGCCGGTCTCCGAGCGCGGGCGCGCCCTCTGCGGCATTCCCGACTGTCGCCACGATGCTGTTGCCAGGGGGGGGCGCAATTTCGGCCGCATCTTCCGCCTCAACAACGAGACCGCCCCCGGGCCGCTGATAGGAGTGAGGGGCTGTCGGAACGCCTGCTTGGTTGTCTCCTGGACGGGAAGGCGCGGGCGCGCTGTGGCTGACGACCACCTGTTCGGTTTGTAGCACTCCCAGGGAGCTACTGCAGCTGAAGGCCGCGCGTCCCAGCGTGAACTCCTGACTCTCTATGCTGCGAGGAGGCTCGAGATATCCTCCATCATCCGCTCGGGGAGGCGTCGTGGACCTCCTTTCGGGGGCAGGCCGGTCTCCGAGCGCAGGCGCGCCCTCTGCGGCATTCCCGACTGTCGCCGCGATAATGTTGCCAGGGGGGCACGCGATTTCGGCCGCATCTTCCGCCTCAACAACGAGACCGCCCCCGGGGCGCTGATAGGAGTGAGGGGTTGTAGGAGCGCCTGCTTGGTCATTTCCTGGAGGGGAACGCGCCGGCGCGCTGTGGCTGACGACCACCTGTCCGGGCCGTAGCTCTCCCAGGGGACTACTGCAGCTGAAGGCCGCGCGTTCCAGTGTGAACTCCTGACCCTCGATGTTGCGAGGAGGCTCGAGATATCCTCCACCATCCGCTCGGGGAGGCGTCGTGGACCTGTTCTCGGGGGGAGGCTGGTCTCCGACCGCGGGCGCCCCCTCAGCAGCACTCCCACCCGTCGCCACGATGCTGCTGCCAGGGGGGGGGCGCAATTTCGGCCGCATCTTCCGCCTCAACAACGAGACCGCCCCCGGGGCGCTGATGGGAGTGAGGGGCCGTGGGAACGCCTGCTTGGTTGTCTCCTGGACGGGAAGGCGCCGGCGCGCTGTGGCTGACGACCGCCTGTTCGGTTTGTAGCTCTCCCAGGGGACTACTGCAGCTGGAGGCCGCACGTTCCAGTGTGAACTCCTGACTCTCTATGCTGCGAGGAGGCTCGAGATGTCCTCCACCATCCGCTCGAGAGGCGTCGTGGACCTCCTTTCGGGAGCAGGCCGGTCTCCGAGCGCGGGCGCGCCCTCTGTGGCATTCCCGACTATCGCCGCGATTCTGCTGCCAGAGGGGGGCGCAATTTCGGCCGCATCTTCCGCCTCAACAACGAGACCGCCCCCGGGACGCTGATAGGAGTGATGGGGTTGTAGGAGCGCCTGCTTGGTTGTCTCCTGGACGGGAAGGCACCGGCGCGCTGTGGCCGACGACCGCCTGTTCGGTCTGTAGCTCTCCCAGGGGACTACTGCAGCTGAAGGCCGCGCGTTCCAGCGTGAACTCCTGACTCTCTATGTTGTGAGGAGGCTCGAGATATCCTCCATCATCCGCTCGGGGAGGCGTCGTGGACCTCCCTTCGGGGGGAGGCCGGTCTCCGAGCGCAGGCGCGCCCTCTGCGGCATCCCCACCTGTCGCCACGATACTGTTGCCGGGGGGGGGCGGAATTTCGGCCGCATCTTCCGCCTCAACAACGAGACCGCCCCCGGGACGCTGATAGGAGTGAGGGGCTGTAGGAACTCCTGCTTGGTCATTTCCTGGAGGGGAAGGCACCGGCGCGCTGTGGCTGACGACCACCTGTTCGGTCCGTAGCACTCCCAGGGGACTACTGCAGCTGAAGGCCGCGCGTTCCAGTGTGAACTCCTGACTCTCTATGCTGCGAGGAGGCTCGAGATACCCTCCATCCACCGCTCGGGGAGGCGTCGTGAACCTGATCTCGGGAGGAGGCCGGTCTCCGACCGCAGGCGCGCCCTCCGCGGAGCCGCCGCTTGTCACCGTGACACTGCTACTAGGAGTGGGCGCGCTGTCGGGGGCATATTCGGCCTCCACCAAGACTCTGTGCCTGGGGCCTGTCTGCCTGTCTCTGACAGAAGGAAGAACCGACCCGCTGCGGCTGGCCACCGCGTGCTCTGTCTGTAACTCTCCCTGGCGACTGATGCAGCTAACGGCCGCTGGTTGGCGACTGTCTTCAGGCGAAACGCCGCCTCCAGATTTGCAGCAATCGTCAACCTCAGATTTACGATTGTCTTCGAGCGGGTCGGTTCTGCGTCCAGGGAGCGCGCTCGCGACGGCGTCCGCCGCGCGCCCAGCAGCCTGGGCCAGGGCCGCGACGGCCGCCCAGGGGGGGCCTGCGCAGCCTTTGCGGCGGCAGCGGCGCAGGCACACGCGGCGGCGGCGGCGGCTGCGTCGGGCGTAGCACTGGCGCCGACTGCGCGGACGCTTGGGGCGTCAGCAGCGTCGGCGGCGAAGGCGGCGCGGGGCGCGGGCCGCCGGGCACGGACGGCGCCAACTCAGCCGAGGGCGTCGGCTGCGTCCGCGGCCCTGGCTGGTGCGCGCGCGTGGGCCGCCGCAGCCACGTCGGCCCCCCAGAAGGCGCTGGCGGCGGAGGCCGCGGCGGGGCAGCCATCGCCAGCGGCGCCCGCGGCGTTGGCGGCGCAAACGGCGGCGGACGCGCCCAAGGGAGAGGACGCCTCCGACGCGTTGGCAGCGCCAACCGCGTTGGCCGCGCTGGCGAGCCCAGGGGGGCGGCCGCCGGCCGCGGCAGCAGCGCCCGGGCGGCGCTGATTCGCAGCACGCGCTTGTCGGCGCCGCCGCGCCGCCGCAGTCTCCATCGCCCGGGGCTGAGCGCCAAACACGTATGGGGGGAGCGCGCCGTCTTGACTGCCAGGATTACCAGGGTTGCGACTGAAGGTCGCCCTTTCACTCTGCACTGCTGGGCATCTGCTTGGGACCCCGCTACTTCCTCGGCTGAAGGCCGAATTGTTACTCGTACTGTTGCCAGGAAGCACGGGATTAATCGGCGACTCCGAAGTGGGATTGATCGGCATGCTGGGGGCTGGATCTGCCTGAGATGCTGGCTGCGCTGCACGGTGACGACCCAGGGGGCAGCTGAAGGCTGCACTTCCAGTGAAAGAATCCTCCAGATAATCGTCAGTCGCCCTGGTCACCACGGCTGGAGCCGCCTCGAAATTCTGAGTTCCTGGTCCCCTGAGGCTGGTGCTGCAGCAGCTGCTTCGGCTGCTGTTGCTGCCGCTGCTGCCCTGCTGGTGCGTCTGCCCGCTGGGGGCCTGTTGGTGCTGCAGCGGCGCGGCCGCGGCGGCGCCAGCCGCGGCGGGCCCAAGCGCGGCAGCGCGGGCCACGGCGGCCGCGGCGCCGGCCGCGTGGCCCGCGGCCGCAGCGGCGGCCGCCTCCGCCACGGCCGCGCGGCGGCGGCGGCGGCCGCCGCGGCGCTGGCGGCCGCAGGGGCGGCGGCGGCGCCGCCGGCCGCCGAGCCCGCGGAGCAGGCCCCAGCGGCGCCCGCGGCGCCGGCGGCGCCCGCGGAGCCAGCGGCCTCGTTGGCGGCGGCGGCGCCAGCGCCGCGCCCGGCGCCAGCGGCGCCTGCGGCGCCAGCGGCGTCGGCGGCGCCCGCGGCGCCACAGGCGGCGGCGGCGCCCGCGGAGCCGACGGCGCCGCCGGCGCAGGGGCCGCCAGCGGCGCCGGCGGCGCCCGGCGGCCGCAGAGGCGGCCGCGGCGGCCGCCGCCGCGGCCGTGGCGGCGGCGCCGCGGCGGCGGCGGCCGCGGCGGCCGCGGGGGCGGCAGCGCCGGCGGCACAAGCCGCAGCAGAGGGCGGCCCGCGGCGGGCCGCGCAGCCAGGCTGCCAGCAGGGGGCGGCAGCCTCGGCGGCGGCCGCGGCGGCCGCGCCGCCGCGCTGTCAGCAATGGCCGCGGCGGCGGCCCTGGCCGAGCAGCCGGCCGCCGCGGCGGGGGCGGCGCAGGCGGCAGCCAAGTGCAGCGGCAGGCCAGGCGGCGGCGCCGCGGCGGCCACGGCAGCCGCGCCGGCGGTGCCAGCTCGGCGTGCGGCCGCCGCCCGCCGCCGCTGCCGCCGGCAAGCCGTGCGCGCCGACGGCGACATCAAAGCGGGGCTTGCGACACAGAGACCCACGGCCGCGCGAGGGCTCACAGTGGGGATCGTGCGAGAAGAGAAAACCTGCTGCAGGCGCGCACGCCTCGGGCCAGCCCCTTGAGCCAGAGGGGGCTACGGACCTGGTGGGGATACACGAAGCGTCAACAAGTAGGGACGCACAGCGGGAGGAGCTCAATGGTCAAGCCGAATAACATCAGGAGGGGAAAGAAGAATCACGAGGACGAGCCCGAAAGAGGAGCCCGAGCCAGGGGCAGGAAGAGCCAGGAGAGGAGGAGGAGGAGAAGGAGGTGGAGGCGAAGGAAGGGGTGCGGGGAGGCCGACGACGAAGACGACGACGACGACGACGGTGACGACGACGAAGACGACGGCAACGACGACGGCAAGGGGGAACCCTTCGCCCACGGGGGGCTCGTCCGTCGCAGCGGGGGGGGCCGCCGCGGGCGACCCCTCGGGCTCGTCGGCGGCGGCGGCCTCGCCGCCCGGGCCCACCCACTCCGGCGGCTCTCCGGGAACCCACAGGTCCTGGCGGCGATCGCCGCGGTCGCGGTGGGCGTCGTCGTCGTTCTCCTCCCGATCCCTGACAGGGCTGGACCTAAACAACGCTGTTTCTCGTTTTCTTTCTGTTGTGCTGTTCGTTTCGCTCGAGCTGTTTTTTCCTGCGCCTCCCGGCCACAACGTGTCGCAAAACACAGCCGAAGCCCAGCAGAACAGGGTTCAGGTCCAGCCCTGATTCCTGATTCCTGATGGCGTGAGACGTCGTTGACTGCCGCCCCGCCGTTCTCCTCCTGCTCCTCTCGCCGCCCCCTCCCTTCCCTCCTTCCTCGTCCCGGGAGCGCCGGCGCAAGCAGCGCGTTCGCGACTTGCGCCAGAAGTTTCTGCTGCACTGGCTGTCGGTGCGCTCGCTCGTGCTTTTGTTTTATCGGCGCCCGCTCCCGACCTGGCCGGTACTCTTTGGAAGATTCTCGCTGTGCCCAGACAGGCAGCTGCCGCACTCCTAATGACAGTCGTGACCGCGGCCAATCGGGACGGGAATGCAGACAAATCCTCCATGGCCCTCCTCCTGGTCTTCCTTCCCCTCCCCTCCGAGGGAGGGCGGGGAGGGGGGTCCGCAGGATCCCCCTCCCCTCCGAGGGAGGGTGGGGAGGGGGTCCGCAGGATCCCAGGGCGGCGAACCGAGGAGGCGGCTGCAGCGCGCAAGGACCAACAAGCACATCAGACCGAAGAGGCTCATGGCCCCCGCAGTGCAGTTTCCTCTGCACGGGGTTTCGAGTAGAAGACGAGAAAAAACGCCTTAAGCGGAAACCTTTTGGCGTGTTTTCTGCTCCGATCCGAGAGAAGACGCGACAAGCTGATGGGAGGTGCCGCATTGTCCCGTTCCTGGCTTGTGTTCTTTGGATCCTCGCGCATGCTGGCGGTTTTGGGCTCCAGTAGGCTCTGCGGAATTGTGCAATGGGGCTCTGGGAGGGTCTGTGGAGTTGACTGCTGGTGGCAAGCAAACAAATAGCTGTAGGTCGGGCATGTCCCCTTACAGGCGGATTCTGGAAGAAAAATCAAACAACAAACACACATCAAAAATAGTCAAAACATCGTCCCGAAACAGTTTTCTGACTATTGTTGAATACTCCTCCTGTAGAGGGACACGCCCGACTTAAGAGTACGTAGCTGGAGGCGGGCGAGGAGGACGAGGACGCGTGGCCTCTGGGGGAGGACGGGAGGGAGGTGCACGGCGTAGGAGAGGGAGCATCCACGTCGAGCGCAGGGGCCAGCGTTCAATGGGGCAACCTCCCGAGGAGGCCAAGGGCTGCTTCTTTCCCTGGGTCCGACGTCGCGAACACAAACTGGGATTTCGGAAGAACTGAGCCCAAAAACATGTTCATCCCTTGGGGTGAGGGGCAACGATACGGGGGGATAGGGATAGGGGGGGAAACATCGACCTGGAATCGGCGATACATCGCCGATAGATCGGCGATAGGCCTCCGATAGCCAATCCGCACCCTCCTGGGCAGGTTGGGGCTACCGGGCCCCTATCGGTGATAAATAGGGGATTGGGGGTCGATACATCCCCCCTTATCTTATCCTCGCCCATCGTTGCCCGCGATAGGGGCGCATCTTTTACTTCCGCCTCCTTCCGCCAAGCTTCCGCCGGCGGAGGCGGCCTCGTTGCACTCCCGCCGACCTTCCGCCGCCTTCCGTCGCGGAAGAGGTGCCAACTCCTTCGATCCTCGAAGGCAACGCCCTGTTTGGAACGCCTCACGTAATGAACCACCACGGCAGTAAACGCTGTCAATCCCTAGATTTCTGCGGCATCGTCCAGGCCAGAGATCGATCCGCGCAGGTTCCCCCGAGCACGACGCGGGGCAAAACAGCGCCCGTTGCGTTTGTTGTTCTCCTGTTGCGGCGTCCAGGTCCGAGGAACAGATGATCGGTGGGCTTCTTCAAAGTAAGACGAAGCCAGGACGAGGATAAAATCGGGTGAGGACAGAAGGAGAATCTCTGAGATATGTCGGCTCTGGAAGATGCATCGGGCGCCGCTGCCTTCTCAGAGCGTTCCGGAACGCCCTGAGAGCGTTCCGGAACGCTCTGGAACGGAATTATTCTCGTCCTAGCCCAGTCCCTCGGCGGCGAGTGAGGGGGGGGAAGTGAGAAGGAGAAGGCCTTCTCAGAAGGCGGCGGGACTTCGTCGAAGCCCTCGCGCCTTTTGAGAAATGATCTGTGTCTTCGGGGAAGGCCTAGAAACCGTCTCAGAAGGCCGGGGGGCTTCCGAGCCTTCTGAAAAGGGCCCCTCCTTCTCGCTTCCCCCCCTCGCTCGCCGCCGAGTCCGACAAAGCCAAGCCCCGCGCACGTTCACGGAGGGAGCCTCCGGGTCCGCGGCTGCTGGTGCGGGCGGCCCCGCTGCCTCCTCCGCCTCGGCGGCCGGAGCGGGCGCCAGAGGCTCCTCTGTGGGGCGGCCGCAGCTGCAGGAACGGAGAGATGTGCCCCGCCCGCAATGGAGGGAGGGGAGGGGAAGGATCGAGGCTATAGTAGGAGCACGCCCACAAGAAGCCTTCCACAAGATGTGTGGAGTTGGGTTATCGCTTTCAGTCCGCAGCGCCGCGCGTCTCTTCCTTCTCCTCCTCCTCCTCCTCCTCCTCCTCCTCCTCCTCCTCCTCCTCCTCCTCCCCTCCTCGCCGTCCCTGCCGCGTGCCCCTCTCGGTTTTCACACGTCTCGTGCTCTACAATCACACGATCAACTCCACCTGCGGCCCTGGTGGTTAACTTTGCATGCGCGCTCCCGCTCAATTCGGCGCACCCCTCACACATCTCGTGCCATTTCGGGAGCTCCACCTGCGGCCCCAGAGGTAATGTTTGCACGCGTCGCCCCCCCCGCACTCGGCGCATCCCTCACGCGTTTCGTGCCCGGTGGGGAGCGCCACCTGCGGCCCGAGAGGTAGAGTTTGCCGGTGCGCCTCCGCCCACTTCGGCGCAGCCCTCCTGCGCTTCGCTCCCTTTAGAGAGAGCTTCACCTGCGGCCCCAGTGGAGCAGTTTGCATACGCAGCGCCCCTGCGGCGCACCCCTCACACGATTCGTGCCCCTCAGGGGGCTCCGCCTGTGGCCCCAACGGCGAAGGCTTTGTGCACACGACCGCCCATTTCGGCAAATACCTCACACGTTTCGTGTCCCTCGGGGACCTCCACCTACGGCCCCCATGATAAAGTCTGTATGCGTGCCCCCCCATCCTCCGTCCTCCCTCCCTCGGCGCACCCCTCGCACCTTTCGCACCTTTCGTGCGCCTCAGGGAGCTCCACATACGGCACCAGTGGTAGAGTTTGCATGCGTGCCCCCCCCCACTCAGCACACTCCTCACACGTTTCGTGCCCCTTATCGAGCTCGACCTACGGCTCCAGAGGAAAAATGTGCATGCGTGCCCTCTCCCCCCCTCTCCCTCTCGTCGCACCCGTCACACGTCTTGTGCCCAAGGGAGCTAAACCAGCGGCCCCAATGGTCAAACTTGTAGGCGCCGCCCCCCGCCCATTTCGGAGCACGCGCAAGTGTTTCGTGCTCCTAAACCAGCTCCACCTGCGGCCCCATCCGGACAGTTTGCATGCGTACGCCCGCATACTTCGGCGCACCTCTCACACGCTTCGTGCAACTTAGGGAATTTCACCTACGGCCCCAGACAATGTTTGCACGCGTCGCCGCCGCCGCACTCGGCGCATCCCTCACACATGTTGTGCCTCTTAGGGGGCTTTACCTACGGCCCGAGAGGCAAAGTTGCGGGCGTGCCCCCATCCATTTCGGCACAGCCCTCATGCGCTTCGCGCCCCCTCGTGAGCTTCACCTGCGGCCCCCCTAGAAAAGTTTGCATGCGTGTCTTCGTTAATTTCGGCGCACCACTCGCACGTTTCAGGCCTCTGAAAGGGGCTTCACCTACTGCCCCAGTGGTAAAATTTGCACGAGCCCCCCCACAAATTCAGGGCGCACTCCTCACGCGAACCGCGCCCCATCGTGAGCTTTACCTACGGCCCCGGAGGGAAGGTTCACATGCGTTTCCCCGCTCATTCCAGCACGCCTCTCGCACGGGTCGTTCCCCACAAGGAGCTCCACCCATGGCCCAAACTTGTGCGCTCGCATGCATCCTCCCACCAGTGTCGGTACAACCGTCACAGGGATCGTACATTGAGGTTCATCATCAAAGTTACATGAAGCTGCTAATGGTTGGGTCCCTCGCCAGGATTCTTTTGCTGTGCCTGCGGAGGCCTCCTGGGACCTCGTACTTGCGAGAGCTCTATGCAAGGGCCTCTGGAGACCTCCGGATGCCTCAGGAGACCCAGGGAGAGAACGACGACGAATCCAAACGTGTTTCAAATCTCCGCTCCATAAGCCCTTGGGTTGGCAAACTCACGAAAACTGGCGGGCAGACTCTGCTTACGCGCTCTGCAGCTTGGTAGTTACAACGCCGAGAGTAAGGGGATGGGTAGAGACGGAGGGGACGAGGACACTGAGAGCCGACGTCGTCAGAGCGTCACGACTTCGTGCACAAATTCACGACGGCGCTTTTCGACCTGGATCGATCATTCCGTGAGTGCCTCGAGGCGCTAGGCGAGGCAGGGCGCCCGAGACGTTTATCCGACGGTCCTCTTCCACTGCAATCTTGGCTGCAATCAAGTACTCTCCGACAAATATGATTTTCCCGTTTTTCTATGACTTTGCCCCTTGCGTACTGGCCACTGGCCCACGCGCGAGACCCATAGGACAGATTTCGAGCACGCGTCAAATTCGTGGGTCCAGCGTTGCACTGCTGGTGTTAACTGCACTTGGCCTGGGAACAACAAGATGCGGCGGGGGGCGGCGGCGGGCGCGGAAACTTCGAAAGGAAACACAAAAAGGGGAATGGAGGATTCGCATAGCGGGGGGCAGGAAGGGGTGGAAAGCGGGAAGGGGAGCGGACGGACAACGAGGAAACGATGGCGAGTCGAAGCAACAAATACGCTGTGCTGTTTTTACGTGTTGTTTTTAGGTGTTGCTTTTACGTTTTGTTTTTACGTGTTGTTTTAACGTGTTGTTTTTGCGTGTCGTTTTTACGTGTTGTTGTTACGTGTTGTTGTTGCGTGCTGCTTCTTTTCCTCTCACGTTTTTGTGTTGTTTTTACGTATTGTTTTTACGTGTTGTTTTTCTCACGAATTGAATTCAGGCCTCCAGGAGGCCGAACAATCCGGCTCAGAGGAGGAGGATGAGGATGAGTAGCCCCCTCTCCTCCTCCTGCACCGCGGACCATGACCACGACCACGACCACGACGAATAAGACGAAGACGACGACGACGACGACGACCACGACGGCCACGACGACGACGACGGCGACGGCGACGACGACGACCACGATGACGACGACGACGACAACTTGGTTCCGGGCAGAGGGGGTCTTTGATAACTGGGCCGCAAACAAATACAATTAGAGGCGTCCTAGATGGGGTCCGAGTAGATGGGGTCCTAGGATCTCGCCACATCGCCGATGCATCGGTGATGTACTGGCGATTGGGCGAGGCATCAGCGATGTCGGCGTGGAGAAGATCGGGCCCCACATCGAGCCGCATCGCTGATGCATCGGCGATGTGGCGCGATCCTCCGACCCCATATACTCCGACCCCATCTAGCAGACCCCTCATCCTGTAGCGCAAAGCGTGTGGCAGCTGCGTGCTGATATTGCACGACGTGCGTATCCCGCGCGAGCGATTGCACGAACTGTTGCGCACATTTCTGAGACCCCCTCTGCAAAGGGTCCCTTGACCCGAATCCGAACGACGACCATCGGCGGCGCGCCCAGGGGGGAAATGAGAAGGGGCGGGCCTTCTCAGAAGGCTCGGAAGTCCCTCGGCCTTCTGAAAAGTTTTCTGAGCTTTCCCCGGAGACAAAAGAAAATCCCCCAGAAGGCGCGAAAGCTTCTGAGAAGTCGCGCCGCCTTCTGAGAAGCGCTTCTTCTTCTGACTCCCCCCCCGGGCGCGCCGCCGAATTTGGTTTTGGGGTCGGAACTCGGTTCGCCGGCGGCCGTTCGGGACGATCCGGGCACCCCCGGAACGCCCTCGGCGAGGCGCAGCTGCTGGAACGCATCCCGAGGGCAGGAGACCGCCAAGAAACAACAAAACGCCTGAAAACCTCGAAGTTCGAACTTCGAAGTTCCCCCCCTCGCTTGCCGCCGAGACCACGACGGCGACGAGGCCGAGGACGACGACGCCGACGGCGGCGACCGCGACGGCGAGGCGGCGGCGACGACGGCGGCGAGGGGCTGCCGCGCTGTTTCGGCCGCCCCCAGCCTCTGTGGCGGCGGGGGCCGCCGCCTCGGCCGCCGCCGGCGATGGCGCCCCGTCCTCCTCGGGGGCGCCACTTCCTCCTGCTCCTCCTGCTCCTCCTCCTCCTCGTCCTCCTCCTTCTCCTCCTCCCTCCTCCCTCCTCCCTCCTCCCTCCTCCCTCCTCCTCCTCCTCCTCCTCCTCCTCCTCCTCCTCCTCCTCCTCCTCCTCCTCCTCCTCCTCCCCCCTTCTCCTCCTCTCCTCCTCCTCCTCCTCCTCCTCCTCCTCCTCTCCTCCTCCTCCCCCTTCTCATTCCTCCTCCTCCTCCTTCCTCCTCCTTCCTCCTCCCCTCCTCCTCCTCCTCCTCCTCCTCCTCCTCCCTCCTCCTCCTCCTCCTCCTCCTCCTCCTCCTCCCTCCTCATTCCTCCTCCTCCTCCTCCTCCTCCTCCACCTCCTTCCTCCTCCTTCCTCCTCCCCTTCCTCCTTCTCCTCCTCCTCCTCCTCCTCCTCCTCCTCCTCCTCCTCCCCATCCTCGTCCTCCTCCTCCTCCTCCTGCTCCTGTTCCTGCAACTGATCCTGCTCTTGCTCATCCTTTTCCTCTTCCCTCCTCCCCGGGTGCGCCGCCCCAGAGTTGCCACCACCATGCCCTGGGCACGATTCAGCCGAAACCATGAGCAAGAAAACTGGCGTTTCAGGAACCTTGGCCAGCTCCCATGTTTTTCAGAACAAGCCCGGACCAACGTCTGTCATTGGCGCTGGAGGAGGTGAACGAGCCCACGAGACTGGGCCAGCTGCCTGGCAAGTTGGTTGAGGAACGCTGGCCCAGCTTTTCAGGAGGCATATCAATCAGATGCTAGACTGTATATCTGCCTCAACTGCAGGAATAAAACCAATACCAATGGCACGCCTCCGTGGGGAGCCCACCAGCGTGCTGCCGTTGACGAAACACCACGCCTGCGGACAAAAAGAAGGAGTGACACGCTGACGAGAATCCAACGGCGGCGTATCCTTGATACTGTGTTCCCTTCCCGATCACCCCCCTGTCCCCAACTGGCACCCGTCACAGCACAGCCGCCGCCGCGGCTCGCAGTGGCTGATTGCGATGGTGCCAGCCAGCGGGGCAATCGACAAAGGCAACCTGCCCGCCGACCTGCCAACCCGCCATAAACCCAGCCGGTCGACCAGCCAATCAACCCGCCGATCAGCCAGACAGCTGGCCACGCAGGCAGCCGACTAACCAGCCAACCAGCCAGTGGGCCGCCATCAGATCCGAATATCAGCAAGTGATGTAAGCTTGGCAACGGACCGGCATTTCCGATGGCGAGACTCTCAGCGCGGTGCGAACGACAAGCCTCACCCCCCGCTCGGGTGGCTCCTCTGCCGCAGGCGCTGGCGCCACCGTCGGTGCCTCTGATGGCGAAGAGTCCTCCGAAGGCGCCGGGGCTGGCTGCTCGGAGGTCTCCTCCGAAGTCTCCTCAGGAGGGCGAGGAGGGGTAGGAGGACAAGGAGGGCGAGGAGGACAAGGAGGGCGAGGAGGACAAGGAGGGCGAGGAGGACAAGGAGGGCGAGGACGGATAGGAGGAGGAGGAGAAGGAGGAGGAGGAGGAGGAGGAGGAGGAGGAGGAGGAAGAGGATCATATCAGACTCCTATAGGGGCATAAATCCAGATGGTGACCACATCTGAGAGCCCTAGGACCGACTTAACAGCCGCGAAATTCGGACCACCGTCCGCCCTGAGTTTCCAGGGTATAGAAACCCTAAACGCGCCACCAAACTTACCCATGGAAACCTAACAAGCGAGCAGCTGCGCCTGAAAGCGATTCGCCGAATCCAGAGTCCCGAAAACTGCGAACAACTGCGCCTCTGGCACGCTTGGCAGGAGGAGGAGGAGGAGGAGGAGGAGGAGGAGGAGGAGGAGGAGGAGGAGGAGGAAGAGGAGGAGGAGGAGGAGGAGGAGGAGGAGGAGGGAGGAGGAGGAGGAGGAGGAGGAGGAGACGAGGGCTCACGAGGGGAGGAGGCCACGGCCTGGCAGGCAGCGGCAGAGCGGGCCTCAAGGCAGGTCGAAGCTGTCCTCGGGGCCGAAGGCCGAGACGAGCCCGTAGAAGTATACACAATCGTTGACGATATACTTGCACTCTGAGACGCCACACACCGTGAAGCTCGAATTCGCAATGAAGCAGTAGTCAGGCGTGACTGTGAAGACCCACGAGATTCATCAGCAACAGTACTTGGCACCCGCATGTCAGTCGACACCGCCTTGCTGTCAAGAATCATCTCATCGCAATCCTCATTGTGCACGCCTAGAACTCCATGTCCTCGCCCGCCAGGAACGTCTGCAAGATGCGCTCCAGGTGGCCCATGGGCGCTACGCCCTCCCTGATCACCGCCCCCAGCTGCTCGCAGCAGGCGATCAATAGTTTGACGTCGTCGATCCTCGGCATCAGCACCTTCGCTTCCCCCTCTTTGAAGGCCGTCGCGATCTTCACAAAGGGGTATTTGGCCACCACCTCGGGCAGCGACAACTTGTTGTTCGCTTCCTTCCACTCGTTCAGGCGCTGCAGGTTCATCTGGCCAACCGCCACTCCGACCTTCTCGCAGCCCTTTGCCAATCCTACTCGACACGCTACTGAAATGGATCCGAGCTTGGTCACCTCTGCCTCCTTCCCCCTCGTCCTCAGGTCCTGGGCCGCCTCCACCCATGCCTTCACTCTGCCACGGCCCTGAAGGATGGGCTCCGTGTTCTCGGCCATTGTCATCGTGACTAAAGTAATAGCCTCGACTTGTCGTGTGCGCATAGTTACGTTCATCACTAACTTCATGAGCACGGGCGCGATCTTTTTTGATTTTATGTCGTACTCTTCGAGCTCCGCGATCTCCCCCTTCGAAACCGTCCGATTGTTGGGCTTCGCCTGAGTGCCTTCGCCCGACTGCCGCCTCCTCCGCCCTCGGCCTTGCGCCTCACGGCGGGGGCCGCCGCCGCGGCCGCTGGGGCAGCTGCAGGGAGAGCCGACCACATGCCAGACAAATTCAGGAAGAGGGAGGGGTAGGTGATCGCGTGAGTGAAACTGTAGCGCCTCGAATGACTGAAAAAGGCTGCAGGCGTACTGGACATGACCTGTCTTCAGGATCTTGAACGGGGGGGTTGAATTTAGAAGAGCCCACCCGGCACCGACCGAACCGATAAGCATTCGCAAGATGCCGAACCGCGGTGCCACGGCAACGAAATGTCGACAAGCAGGCAACACATTGATTGGTAAGCACCAGCTTAGATATGGCAGACGGGATCCCATGTTGACCTCCAGTGGCCTGTCTCTGGTGGACTAGAAGGGCTCGATGCGATGCAAATCGTCGGCCACATTCGAGGCCATCATCATTTAGATAAGTACAACAGTATTCACCTTCGGCAACCTCACCTGGTTCAGGGGATATATCCGAAGACGACGGCGGCCTCAACAACCATTCAGCTCGAAACTGCTGCATATCAATCTTCTGAAAAGCGCCATAGGCCTCAGAGCCCCCGCGGAAGATCCCCAAGAAGTCTACATGTGCATCGCTGGCCTCGTCTCCAAGCAACGCCAAGACGTCCCTCCCCTCCTCCGCACACGCCATATATTGAAGGTCTTGCACGAACTGGTTGGCCCAGGGGTTGTCTCTCGAGGTGTCCTTGGGGCTCGAGCACGCACTGGGGTACCGAGCAAACGACGACGGAACAGCTGCTTCTACATCCAGGGCCCCGAAGACTGCCGTCAACTGCTGAACGTGATATGCTGGGCTACGTGCAATATTTTGCCACTCCTTCAACCTCTGGACTCTCAGCTCCAAGTCGATCGGAACAAGACCAGACTGGCGCCACAGCACCTCGGCAGGAGGGGTCCTGATACCCGTAGCCTGGGAACCGTCAGGGTTGACAACCTCGATCCTGGTCGCGACACCCCCTAGTAATACACGGAGATAGCGTAAACAAGTAGACTCGATACGGGCAACTTGGGAGGCCGAGAAGACCAGAGCCGTAAGCCCCGAGGCAGCCGCGCCTATCACATTGCATATGAACGCCATCTTTTTCAAACGCCACGAAGAGCAGACCGTCCAGAAGCGCCTCATTTGCGCCCACCCTCGAACTGGCGCAGCACGTCTGGCCTCAACCTCTGGCGCCCACGATCCCGACGTCGAGAAGAGGGCCCCGAGAAAAGGAACGACAGGTAAAACTTGCCCAGGGAGCTGATGACCACCATGAGTGAAGGCCGCCCTCGTGGCCCAGTGCGCCCCAGGACCGCTGAAATGTGGGACCACCTGTTTCTTTCCCGCGCTCTGGAAGACACCGTGCTCGCGCAGCGAGCCGTCAAGGAGGCGATCCGAGTGCATGATGATATATCGAGTATCAGCAAGGTCACGAACAATGTGTGTTTTGTTCAGGTCATCTGCAAAGACGCGCAAGCTCAAGTCAGACCTCTCACCTGTAACAGCGCACGTGCCCTGGAGGCGATTCGGAAACTTCTGATGGTGGCCAAGCTGCCACTCCTTCACTGGCGGCGCGAACGCATCCTGAAACACTGTGGCAGCATTGGCATCCCCCATATAGTTCCCCTCCGTGTTGCGGAAAACTTTGTAGCCGCCGTCGGCCGTGACCCGAAAACACGCCCTGCGATGCCTTTGCTTCAGGATGTGCGCGCCCGATGCATCATGCAGTCTATCCACGGCCTCATCCAGAGACTGGTGCTTCACGGACCCGAACGCGTTCCGCATGTCGTGTTTCGTATCGACGGTCGACGCCCTGCCCCGAGATGCCCTCGAGGAAAGCGCAGCAGTGGTTCGAATCGCCCCCGTCCTCGATCGTCGTGGCAAGTAGCCATAATCGCAACACGGAGCCGTCCTAGCCCTCCTCCTCGCCACCTTCACCCACATTTTGCCGAACGTGCATAGTCCGTGAAGCAATCTCGTACTCTGTGTGCGGGTCTTGTCGTTATCCTTCGACAACTGATAAGTAAAGGAAACATTCCAATGAGCGACTAACCTAGCATGCTGACGAACTTTGGTCAGAATACATTGCACCCACTTACTGATCAACGGGCCGACGCCCTCTGGGGTTTCAACGCCAAGCCCCGCTGATCGCGCCTTCTCTGACGGGCGCGAGGAGAGCAACGAAGACCAGATCTCATTCGGCACGCTCCGCGGCACTGCAGCACGCCTACGGCGGGCCGTACGAAAACCTTTGGCAATGCGTTCAAAGTCGTGCCCGGCTTGGGACGCGTCATCGGTCGAGGGAAGCTCGTCGACGTCGAACCTCGAGGCACTCTGGATGAAACCTTCCTCGCTGATCTCCGTCGCACTCATGCCGCCCTTACTCGACGGCGTCGCGAGATCCTCCACCCGCTCCTCCATGCTCGGTGTATAAGACGCGATATGACCATACTGCCTCCTCCTCGGCCCCGCCCCCGCCCCCGCCGTCAGTCTGCAGGTCCTCCACTCCTCCGAAGCGAGCCCCTTAGATTGCGCCTCCTCTAGTTCCCCTGAGAGTTGGGCCTCGCGGAGCTTTCGCAGTCGACGACGATGCGACCTACACCTCCGAGTAATGCGGGCTAGGGCCATAGTCGACTCCAGGGAGCCCGTGCACATTTCACGCGCTCGACCCCGCTCACGAAGAAGCCGAACACGCTCCCGAGACAACTGTAAGTACTCAGCAGGCAGCGCCTTAGGGGTGGCCTCAAAGGTCTCGAAGCCCTTCATCTGGATGAGCTCTTTCAGGGACTTCCAGGCATCCTCGAGGTTCTCAGACTGGACAAGCTCCTCCAGAGACCCAACACCCCGCTGGTCAAGTAGTGGCTCGACGGCCCGTTCGACATCGTTTCGAAACACTTGCGCGTGATGCTAACTGCGAAGTGCCTGACCTAAGCCCACAAAGTCCCAGCGTTTCCGAGGGGGTTCAGCACGACAGCAGGGCCTCAACTCCAGCTGAAAGACGAAGGGGATGTGGTCCCTGGGCCGGCCGTCGGGGATGATCTGGAGCCGCTTCGCAGCCCGCATCGCTTGAGTATATCTCTGGATACGTTCAACATGACTATCGGGCACAAATACATGATCTATGTACGACGCATGCTGCTTCTTGGTGGACTTCGGGGCGCTCTGGAAGCTCGGGGCGGCCGACGTGATCCTGGCCTCGTCGGGGACAGCACCGTAATAACTAAGGCCACAGTGAAAGAACGTGTTAGCAGCCGCGAGCGAGTACGTCCCAGCAAAGCTTCTCATCAAGCCCCCAGCCAAGTGCCCCTCCCCCAGACCGAACTTGCCCAGGGCAGGCGAAACAATGTTAGAGAGGCCGTGGGGTCCGTGGCAACGTCCAAGACCATCATTGAGATCCATGGCAACTATCGGCACCGTCCTGCTCGGGAGACACGGCATCACATGATGGGCAAAATCGTGAAGCTTATTCACCGTCGTGGCTAAGTGAGGCTGCTCTCGTGGGCCCCGACTCCTCGGCGGAAAACAGAGCGCCAGGCACGTCGCGTCCCCGTAGAAGTATTTGACTCGGATGGCCCCACCACGCCCTCGAATGTCTTTGGGTGCAACCCAGATCCTCACCACATCTCGAGCTCGCACCGTATTTTTGTTGGTGTAAAAAGAAACACCGCATGAGCAATTGGAATGGGAACTCTTCAGGTCATAGCCCATGTGCACCGCCTTGAAGTTTGGAAGATCCTCCACCACATGTGAGGCTGAATAGGCACGTCGTTGTGTAGCCACTAAGATCACGATACCCACTTTGGCAAACTCATACTGCAGCTCCAGTTCCCGATCCCTGTCAGCAATAGATACAGGATTCCAGCGCACTATTCGCATCGTAGAAGTAGACACAATCCGACACACTCACTCTGAGAAGCCACACACAATGCCCTGACGCACGCGCTGATGTAAGGCGCTCGCTTGACAGCCAAAGCCTGCGCTGATGTAATCACGCTCGCTTAACAGCCTGACGCGCACCTCTGTCCACGCAGAGCCACTTCACGGACCCGACGAGCCACTCTGTGAGTACGACGATCCACTCAGGATTCCCGATCTGGCCCTCAAGCACTCGCGAGATGCCCACGGACTCCGACAGCAGCAAACGAGAGCAAACATAATATCAACGAATGTAAAGTGTAGGGGGTTACAGTAGCGGGGCGGAGGCGGTCCCGCCTCGAAGTCGGAGCGGCGGGGAGCGCGCCTGTTGCCGTGCAGCCGCGGCAGCTGGAACGCCTGGGCCGCGCGGCTAGGAGGAAGAGGAGGAGGCGGAGGAGGAGTAGGAGGCTGAGGACGAGGGACAGGGAGGAGGACAAGGACGAGGGACAGGGAGGAGGAGGAGGAGGAGGAAGAGGAGGAGGAGGAGGAGGAGGAGGGGGAGGAGGAGGAGGAGGAGGAGGAGGAGGAGGAGGAGGAGGAGGAGGAGGGTCGAGGGTCTCCTCGCCCGCCTCTTGCTCGGAGGTCTCCTCCGACGGCGCGGGCGGGAGTGCCTGGACCACCGCTGGCGCAGGCGCCGGAGGCGTCGCGCCTTCGGCGGCTGGCGAGTGCGCCGTCGGCGGCGTTGTCGTCAGCAGCTCCTCGGGCTCTGGAGGGGCGGGGACCGGCTCTCCAGCACGCGTCGGCTCGGGCTTTGCTGGTCTCGATGCTCGTTTGGGGGACCTTCTTGGAGCCACTCGCTCCACGTGTGCGTCGAGGCTGCGTCGAACGTCCGTCGACCCGCGTCGAGCTTAGTTAAATCGAACCAGAGTCGAACTTGGGGCGAAGTGGAGTCGAACAGATCCATTCGGTAGGCCCCATAAAGGTCACCCAAAACGAACATCGAAGCTGGTGGTGGCTCGAGCTTCGGCTTGGGCGTGGCCTCGGGCACGCTCTTGGGCTGGTCTTCGCCAGGCGGCGGCAATGGCGCGACCGACTCTTCGTCGCACTCGGAGCACCCAGAACAATCAATCCAAGCGCACTTCTCTGTCCATAGTGCCCGGCTACGGCTGCAGGTCCCGTGACACTTCGCCTCGTCTGGATCTGAAGGACAGTCCGAGCAGCTGGCGCAGTTCCGCCAGTCGCACTTGTACTCCCAAGCCGCGGTGTGGGTCACACACCAAGACTTGCAGCCGTAGTTTTCCTCCTCCACCTCTTCCACGGGTGCCGCTGGCACAGGCGCATCGGCGCTGGCTTCCTCAGGTGCCGCTGGCACACGTGCCTCGGCGCTGGGCTTCTTTGCCGGCGCGGCCTGGTCTGCCTCCCTTGGCGCTGCAACCGCGGGTTCTGTGGCTGTTGCATCGGCGCCCTCGGCGGCCGTCTCCTCGCCGCTTGCTGCGGCCTCCTCGTCCGCTGCGGTCCCAGTGGAAGCCTGCTCCGCGTCTGGGGCTTCTGCGGCACTCTCCTCGTCCTCAACCTGTTTCTCTTCGTCCTTCACCGAATCCTCGATCTTGTCCTCCTCACCGCCCGGATCCGACGAGGCCTCCTCGGAGAGGTCTGGTTCTGCAGATTCGCCCTTCTCGCTGTGCGCCGCTGGCGGCGGCGCGACTCCCGCGGGGTCTGACGAAGACTCGACTGGAGAATCTGTTGCTGCACCCGCGCCCTCTGTGGAAGACGGTGGGGACTTCGTTGGCGGCAGCGGCGCCGGCTCCGTGGTGGTGGGCGGGAGGAAAATCTCCTTGGCCTCATCCTGGGGGACGATATACCTTCCGCCGCCGTTGTCTGTCTGGTCCATCTGTTGGGCGACCTTCTCGGCGAGGTCGTCATACTCATCCCCATTGTTGGTCAGGAAGTCGTCGCTGTACATGGCATCCTCAGGAGGGCGGCGAGGACGACGATGATGACAGCGATGACGACGACGGCAGCGACGTCGGCGACGACGACGACGACGACCCAGACATCCTACATGGATCTCGAAGCTGTCTGCCCCATGTCCCGGACATTTATTCGCCGCGGATCGTCATTTGCGGGCCCTCCGGACCGAAGAAGCGGCCACCAGGACGTCGAAATTGAAAAAAGACGGCTGCCTCCGATCGCGGGACGACGGCGACGAGCACGGAGACGACGACGACGACGGCGAAGTGAATGGCGATGACGACGAGGACGGCGAGGACAAGGACGAGGGGGATGGAGACGAGGCCGACCGCCAATGCATTCTAGCCATTCGCTCGCAGCCCCTGGACCTCTCCTGGGCGCCAGCAGTTCCATCTCTTCGAGCTGCTTCCAGTCGTGGCCGCGAGCCCCCCCCCAGAAGGCGCAATAGTGCATCAAGACCCTCCCCCCCTCCCTCGTCCCTCGCCGTTACCTGTCGTCGTCGGTCGTCCTTCCGTCCCTATGTCCCTCCATCCTCGTCCTCGCCCTCGTCGTCGTCCTCGTCGTCGACGTCGTCGTCGTCGATATCCGTCCTCGTCGGTCGGCGTCCGTCGTCCGTCGCAACCGTTGCCGCCGTCGGCGTCGCAGGTGGCGTCCTGGGGAGTAGTCGCTGGCGCTGGTCCCGAGGTGCCCTTGTCGTGCCCAGCGGGGGCCTGCGTCCCCGCCACGAGGAAGGAGGCGTCGCGCCACAACGAGTCCTCCTGAGGAGAACGGGGGGGGGAGGGGTCCTCCTCCTCCTCCTCCTCCTCCTCCTCCTCCTCCTCCTCCTTTCTCGGCTACACGCAAGAGTGACCTCAGGCTAGAGTGACCTTCGGTGGGCGGCTTAGGGGGGGCGCCAGGGGCCCAGACCCAAGCGCGCAAGCCGCTGCTGTCGCACATTTCTCGGCGATCGGGGGACGCCAGTGGGTCAGCACCGAAGGCCGCCCTGGCGAAGGGCCACTCTGACGTGAAGTCGACTTTCCTCTGCCGCCCTGCAGGAGGCCCGTCTTGGCCGCCCGCCCGGCCGGGCCGCGCGGCGCGGGCTCCGAGCACCGCGGACGGGCAGCCCAGCAGTGCCCTCCCCGCGGGACGCCCCCTTCCCCGCGGGCGGGAGCCTCTCGGCGGGCCCTCAGCTCGAGGCTGGGAAAGGCCTGGCCTGGGGCATTCTCCTCACCACGGGGGCGGGGGCACCTCGGGGCGGAGTCCCCCCCCCCCCTGGGCGGAGTCCTCTCGGGGAGGGAGCCCTCCTTGGGATGGCGTCCTCTCGCCCAGGAGGACTCCTCGGGGTGGAGTCCTCCTCCTGGGTGGGTGGGGGAGCTCCTCCTCCTCCTCCTCCTCCTCCTCCTCCTCCTCCTGTTCCTCCTCCTCCCCTCCCTTTCCTTGTAGGGATCTGCCTCCTGCCGCGCCCCCAAACGTATCGGTATGGAGGGCCAGGCGTTTCGCATCAGACCTCCGCACCATTGGTTCAATGGCCCTGAAGCTTGAAATTCGCAGTAGTTACGCGAGGATGGAGCACAGGTCTTTTTGAAGATGGGGCTGACGATATGGCGCCGCGCACATTCGCTTTTAAAGCTTACAACTGTTAGCAGGATTGATGGGTGGTCGTGTCCCCATTTGAGTTCTGGCAGTAGTGCCGCGCGCATTCGTTTCAAAACTGTGCATTCGCTTCAAGTGCTTAAGGCGCTTCTTTTTTAAATGGGGCTCTCGCTGAAGCGCCGCGCACATTCATTTGTCTTGAGCGATTGCAGCAGTTACAAGCATTGGGGACGATCCATTCCTAGGTGGGCCTTCGACTGGAACTTCCTTGGGCACCCTAGCCCAGGGCCCAGGAACTCCAAAGCATGTGACAGCTGCACGGCTTGAGGGCAATTTCCTTTCAACCATGGACTCACGTTTCAGACTTCCTCGAGGTCTTGTGATCTCGTGCGCCAATTGCACGGACTGGGGGGACGGCTTTCCAAGGGGGATGTCGCTGAACATCTCGTTGAGCTGTATGATCATGCCTTCGCGTTCCTGCTTGCGTGCTGGAAGTGCGCACACCATTTTTTCAAAGCGCACGAACTCAGGGCTAACGCCTGAATGGCAGGCCCCCTATGAGGTACCGGTCTCTCCAGGTATGCGTCCCGTGGCGAAACACAAGGACAACTGTTATAGACTTATGAAGGGCGGGACTTGGGACGGGATGGTGTACTGCAGCATCGCTATCTCATCTTGGGCTTACTTCGGTCCTGCTCCTCCTCCTCCTCCTCGTCCTCTTGCGTTGACCAGACTTTATCCATTCGGTCGACGCCTCTGGGGCAACAGAAACAACAACGACAACGGGACGCAACACGTAACAGCAGCAGCCGCGAAGAGCTCCCCCTCCTCCTCGTCCTCCCTCCTTCCCTGGCGCACGCACGCTCCCGCGCGCGTGTGGGAGAGCAAAAGGAGGATGATGGGGCCTCCTCCTCCTCCTCGCCCTCCGCCTCCTCCTCCTCCTCCTGCTCCTCCTCCTCCTCCTCCTCCTTCCCCTCCTCCTCCTTCTCCGCCTCCTCCTTCTCCTCCTCCTCCTCCTCCTCCAGGAGCTGCTATGGCTCTCAGCACAGCAGGAGCTCCCACCACATCTGCCACACCGTACAACCCATGGGTGGAGGTCACTAACATGCGGGGCGGCAGGCCAAGGCTGGCCTGCAGTACCTACTTTTCCTTCCCTCCATCTGCAGGAATCGTCTTCGCCATGTTATTGAGAGGTCTGGCATATAATGTTGAATGGGACGATCACACCCGTCTGGAGAAGGTACCGACTCTCAAGCCGACCGTCGATATTCTGATGCTCAACGGAACCGAGCGCGCCGCAATGAAGGACGAGGACGAGACGAAGATGAACTTGCCGAACCACACTTGCGCGGAGTTCGGGTCCCGAAATTCAAGGTGGCCAAACCGGTCCTACGGCCTGGCGGTGATGTTCAACGCGGAGATGAAGGGCACTCTGCAGCAGATCTCGTTCCCACCAAGGCCAAGGGGCATCGAAGGGCGGATCGCCATGAATAAATTTCGCATTGGAGCACGTACGGTGGCTTTCTTTCCTTTCCCTGATTACCTGCCGCCCAAGAGCACTACGCCGTCACTGTTGAGAGAGGCGGCCGATAAATGCACGACATGGTTCACCGAGTCAGTTGACAAGCTTGGACATCAATGTTTCAGTAGCATGAGATGAGATCTGGACGGCTCATTCAGCATCCGAAGAGACGCCACTGGGAGCAAGTACTATTGAGCTGATCGTGCAGTTGGGATAAAAAACCCAGGGATGGAAATAGCAGTTTCACAGCGCGTTCGAGAAGCGATCGAGGAGAATCACATGATTTTTGCAAGAAGTTGTTGGGATACGGGGCCAGCATATTTCAGCGGCGCCGCTAGTAACAAGATCGACCGTTACATCGTGCCCACCGAATCCAAGCAGCGCTTCATCACCATCAAGACGCATCGAGTGCTCGGACGGCGACTGCAACGGCGCGTGACTACCCTGCCGCAGGACTCTGTCCCATTGTACGACGAGGGTGAGGAGTACAAGGGGGAGTACCTATGCATGCACGAGCTGTACGACGGCACAGCTTTCGGAGCCACGTTTCCGACTATGAAGGCACTCGATGCACATGTCACGTTTGTACATCAGCCTCGAAACGAGTACTCACTAGCCGTTCGTACCAACATGTGTCCATGATGTATGACAACATCTGCGAGAAAGGCATCATACATTCGGCACGTGTGGACCATGGCAAGCAAGACGCCAAGAACGTGCCCTACTCGATCGGTTTCGTTTGGTTTTTGGCCCGAGCCTGATCCATATTACACGTGTGGACATTGCGGCCTCATCCATGGCGGGCTCGGTCTGGGACGTCTACCTGATTCCACAGAACGAGGCGACGGAGCAGAGCACGGAGCTGTATTACGTAGCCACTGGGACATCTCGCCCACGGCTGTCGAGCTACAGCTGCAACGTCTTCGATGGATCAGCACAATCGTCAGGGATCCTGGAACCACGAGCAGGCCATCATGGACGTGTTCGGCTCGACTTGTATGGATGAATGCGGAAAGCGCCGCCGTTTCGACAACACTGGCAGAGTATATGAGCACAGCACTCCCTGGGCAAAGCAGTGGTTAGGCGATCTGAGCACACTGGCAAAGGTAGTACAGCGCTACAACTACTTCCACTACGAGGTATACGGGCACAGGCCAGACTCAGATTGTACGACTGGATGGCACGACATACAGCACATCACCGAGTTATTCAAAGACACGAAGGCGGCATCGGTTTTGAAGAAATTTAGAAGGGACAAGCCTATGATGCGCACGCGGCTAGAGAAGGTATATGACGATGAACGAAGAGCACGAGGATACACGACACACGATGAGGGTGAGGAGAACGAGGGGGACACAGCCTACGCGGAAACGGTCAAAGCAGGCGAGAAGGACTTGAGCAGCCCGCATACTTAGCATGGTCGCCATATTCGGGGGCATAGCGCAACTGGGTTTGCCGAGCCCATCGAAAGAGATCCTCGAGGGTTTCGTCATATTGGAGAACAAGATGTCACGCCTGCACATGGGGGACCTCGTCCCATACAAGCGAGTCAAGGCCGCCTACGCCCAGAAGGACCAGCCAAACAGCTTCATGAATTGCATGAAAGCACCCCACCTCCCGAACACAAGGTTTTTCTCAGAGCCGCCATAGAGAACGCCACCATTCACGTGAACAGTATCGATGGGGAGACTGATTTTCGAGCCGATCGGGGGACCGCCATGGGCTACTCATTAGCGGCTGCAGATTTCGAGGACGTTTTTTACTCCAGATATTGAAATATGGTGCGACAAACTTCGTCAGGGAGACTTTCGCCAAGGTGCAGATAATGCGTGAAGCTACTTTGCTTGCCGCCGTTTGACACGCAGATCCATTGGCTTCAGCAGTTTCTCTCAGTACATGACTACCAATGCATCTCTCATCAGTTACGCGGAGGGCAAAGACTACAGCATACTAATCATTTTCCTTGCCTTAATGTGTCAGAAGTCCCACAACCACGGACTCAAATTGGGAGTGGTAATGGGATCTGAGTTACATCGAGCTCTGCCCATCAAGATCGAGTTCTGCTTTCACTGCCATGGCGAAGTGGCAGCCACGACAACTACGGCAAGGATTCTTGCACTCTGAGACTCTTGAGCGCGGTGGCACTGGCACTATAAAATTGCAGCATCACGTTCAATGTTTCACACACGCATGCATGTCGTGTTGCACGGCGCAGTGAGCACGCGATGCGCATACTTGTATACAGAGTGTGCCCTGAGCGTCCACTAAGCATGTAACTACATATATAGTTGAAGGTAGGGAGGGTTGAGCCTAGAGTTTCGCCCTCTCGTTTTGCTCTAATTAGGAGGATGGAGACGGCCTAGGGCCGACGAGGGGCCCAAGGCTACATAGGCCCTCACGGGCTCCCTCAGGTGTCCTTCCGCCTCGCCTAATGACAGAACCAGCAGCAACTCAGGACGCCGACAGGCGCCCAAATTTGCTAGGCTCGTGCACCGTGCCCGAAGTCGAACTGCTGCCGAGATCGCTCGCTCGCTCGCTCCTCCTCCTCCTCCTCCTCCCCCTCCTCCTTCTCCGCCTCCTCCTTCTCCGCCTCCTCCTCCGCCTCCTCCTCCTCCTCTGGGCCTTCGGGGGGGCCCCTCGCGGCCACAGAAGGGTCTACCTCGAGATCCTAGCCAGGACGCGCTCCAGGAGCGGCCAAAGGGTCTCGGGGCTTTGTAAACGGGGGTTTAGCTAAACGGGGGCTTAGGCTTGTCCATATGCCCCCGTTTACTCTGCCCGCGTCTATGGCGCCCAGGGCCCCCTAAACGGGGACATAGCCAAACGAGGAAATCGGCGTTCCCCGTGCCCCCGTTTGCTGTGCCCCCGTCTTGGCGCCCTGAGGGTCCCAGGATAAAAACGACCGGGGACGAAGAACCTCCTGAGGAGAGGGGTAAGAGATCATCCTCCTTCTCCCTCTTCCCAAGGGAGGAAGGGTAACCCTTGTCCTCCTATCCTGAGCCTTCGGGGGAATCCATCGTCGCCGCGGCTGGATCGGCGTTTAGACTTGGGTCAGAATGCACTCGGTCGTTAGAGGTTTTTGGGGGTGGCGAGAGGTGGGGAGGGATGGCGATGAGGCGATGGGGGGAAGACTGTTTTTCACCGTACTAGGCCCCAGGAAGCCCGTTCTGAGCCCCATGATTATCGAACAACAAGTCGGGACACAAAACCGGCCTCGGGAAAGAAGTAGAAAGCACCAGGGTCTCACAGGGAATACTTCTGAGGAGGGGCCCCTGTGAAGCCGCCAGGTCAGACTTCCTGCAACTGAACCAAGAAAGGAAAATCCGCATTGGTGGCTCCTGAAGGGCAGCAAGCAGTCAATCCGGACCTCCCGAAAATCCACCAGCCCTTTACGGCATAGGTGGTTTGGGGCGCTTCCTTTTCCACCCCCTTCATCCCCTTCGTGGAAGGGGTTGATCACTGTTCCTATTAATGATCGAGGGCGCCTGTGCGGGACCCACTTGATGCGCTTCGAGAGATCGAGAGAGAGAGAGAGAGAGAAACAGAGAGAAAGAGAGAGAGAGCGAGAAAGCGAGATATAGAGAGAGCAACCATAGAAAGAGAAACACCATAAACAAACCAATCAACAAATTATCCTCTGTGCCATCCTTCTCTCTCCCCCCTCCTCTACATCCCTTCTCTTCTCCACATCCAGTTGAAGACCCCAAATCCTTGCGAAAGGAAGCTTGGCATAATGGTGTTTACTAAAGTTTTCCCTGAATGAAGAAACCCTTACTCCGGGAATTATTACGAAGGGGTCCTGACCCACGAGTCTTTACGAAGGAGGTCTCTACCAGGAGTCACTACTCAAGAATCCTTCTGATGGAACCCGTATTTGGATACTCCTAGCGAAGCACCCCCTGACCGAATAACCCTTCGCCACTTCATCTGGAATATAGAGCCCCTTACCAAGGAGTTGCTGACCAGGAGCGTTTACGAAGGAGTCCTTTCCAATGAAACCAAAACTGATACATCATCGGTCCATCAAGCCTTGCCAATGAACAAGTTTCCACAACAAACAAACTGTTCGGGAGCCCTTCTTGGGACACCCTAGCCGACGAACCTTGAATACAGAAATCCTCACTTCGAAATCCTTACTATAAGGTACTTGGTGAAGAAAGCCAAGATAAGGAACCCTGGCGGAGGAATGCTCATCAAAGAACAGTTGCGAAGAAATCAATACCACAAAACTTGGGACTACTCAAATCCGACATATGACTCCTTACTAAGGAGTCCCTACCCAAGAACCCCTACCCAAGATTCCTTCCTACGAATTCCGTCCCTGCTGATCCTTGCTGGGATGCTCTTACGGACGAACGCTTAACGAAGGGGTCCTTTCATATGGAGCCCTTAAGAAGGAGTCTTTCTACAGGAGCACTTACTGAAGAACCCTTGCATCAACAAATCCATACAGGACCCTTACGCAAGACAACCTTAACTGAGAACTCCTTCAAATGAACACGTCTGGTTCGTAATCCTTGTCGAACGGCCTAACGAAGAGACCCAGGAGAAGGACATTCCAACTAAGAGGTTCATATGGAGTTTCTGATTGATAATACGATTGCAGTCTTCATGTTTCGTTGAGAAAGGAAACGCCCTTCACAATTAAATAATCCATGCTGAGGAATGCTCACCAGGGAACCATTATAAACTAGTCCTTTTGTGGCTACTTTGGACCACTCAGCACTTACAAACAAACTCATTAACAAGGAACCGTTTGGTGGGGGGATCAATACTGCTGAGTCGTTCCTGCGGGGTCGTTTACCAACGAATCCTGACCAAGGAGGCCGCACGGAAACATACTTATTAGGACATAATTTTAAATGGATCCTTACTGGCGGGGCCTTTCCAGAACAATCCTTAACACTGAATCATGACCTGAGCCCCCCCACGTATAACAACCGTGTAACAATAATTCTTACTCATGGGTCATCATTACGGAACCATTGCTCACAAATCCTAGCTAAGGAACTGTTGCTGGGGCATCATTACCAAGGAATCCTTGCACATCTTTCTTCGACTGAACCCTTCCCGAAGGACTCCCGACGATGGAATATTTACCGAAGAATCCTTGCAAACGAACCGTTTTGCTAAGGAATCCTGAAGGATTCTTATTGCGGAATCCTCGCCGCTGAGCTTTTTCTTCAGGAGCGTTCACGAAATATTCCGTGCACAAGAAATCATCACTGAAAAACCTCTACGACAACACAAATCTGAGCATGGAACGTCCGGAGTAAAACATATTATTTGGGAGCCCGTACTGAGGGGTCCAGACCAAGAGATCTGGACTACAGAAGTCCCAACTAAAAGATCCATACTCACAAACTATTTAGTTGATACGCCCTTTATAAAATAATCCATGCGTAAGCATGCCCACGAAGGAACCATGGCCAAATAATCCGTTATAAAGAGAGTTGACGACGCAGCCCTTGTAGGAGGGCTCCTCGGGGAGCCTTTTCCTAAGGATCCCTGCCGCAGATTCCATACGAAACAAGCGCTTGTAAGGAATCCTCATGAATAAATCCTGGCTGACGGGGCCCTTACACAGGAATCCTTAGTGAAAAGGCAAGTGTATATCTACACACACTGGAACCATTGCGCGCGCTTCGCGCGCGCTCAGGCTCTTGCAGGCCCCAGGACTACATGAGTTCACTGCTCCACTGAAGTAGTGGACCACAAATAGTTTGAACGGGAAGTGAAGGAGTGCCCATCACGCTGAACGTATGATGGGCAAAGAGAAGTCCATGCACGTCGATCCGCATTCTGGAAGGCTTTCGGGGAAGATGGTTGCGTACGGGGCGGAGGCCTGATGAATCGGATTCCCAGAAGGCTTTCTGGGAACATGGGCTTTGGGTGGCGTCTTGGGGAGCCTGTTGGACGTGCCGTCGTCGTTGTCGTCGTCGTCCTAATGCCGTCGTCGCCTGTTGGGCGCGCCGTCGTCGTCGTCGTCGTCGTCGTCGTCGTCGTCGTCGTCGTCGGTTCAAGAGGGCACTTGGGGAAACTTTGTGCGAAACGATCCGCGGAGGGCCGCGAGAAAACGATCAGTCATGCTCCCAGTCAACTTCCCAGACAGCTCTCTGGTAACGCGATGGCACTTCGGAGCCTCTGGAGACTCGCGGGCCCATGGTGAAGCATGTCCCCGGAAGGCTTTCTGGGAACATGATTTGTTGGGGTGTCCTGAGCATTTTTTTTTTTGGGGGGGGGGGGGGGTCGGAAACCAGGGGGGGGCCCCTCCCCCCCCTTCCCCTTGGAAAAACTCCTGAGAGGGGGTCAGAAACCAGGGGCCCCCTCCCCCCCCTAAAGCCCCCTCCTCTCCCCCCCCCTCCCCCTTCCCCGGGAAGAACCCAGAGGCCCCCCCCCCCGGAGAGAACCCAGGGGGTGTGGGGAGCTTGATAGTTGTGCAATGGATTCTAACAAGTTCTCGGTCCTCTGATGAGGATGGATGCTTCGGTTCTCACCCAGAGGTTCGCAGTGGCAGAGCTCTTTTCGCGATCGCAATCTTCGCTATGACGAGGCAGGAGGAGGGGGAGGGAGGAGAGGGGGGGAAGGCAATCACGATCTTCGCTCTCGCGACCAGAGCTACGATATCTTCGCTATCGAGAGGGAGGAGGGGGAAGAGAAGGAGGGAGCAGAGCTCTCTTCGCCATCGCGATCTTCGCTATGATGAGGATCGAAGGGGCAGGAGGAGGAGGGCAACGCAAGACGACGAGGACGAGGACGAGGACGACGAGCTCCTCCTCGGCGCCCCTCAGTGCGCCCAGGGCCGAGCGGCCGGCGAGGTCGACGGCGTCCGTTCCAGAGGCGGCCTCGGAAGGCCGAAGCGATGACGGAAGGCGAGGGCGAGTGGAGGACGACGGAGCAGGATGGGGACGGGGAGCTGCGACGAGGAGCAGGGAACACAGTGGCCACGGCAAGCGTGCAGACCACCATGTTGGCATGAGCAAGGAGGGGGTGCTGGAGTCGCGGGCGCGCAAACATGGACCGGCGATCCATGGATTTGGCGCGCGGTCGCCAAATCCACGGATCGGGGGAGGTGCCCTCCCCAGAATGCGGCCGGTGCCGCCTCGTTCGGCGGTGGGAATCCGCGATTCCCCATGGAGACGGGACCCGTCGCTAATCCACGCCCCCTTAATCCATGTTTGCGATCGCCTGATTGGAGGGGTGCTGGAGGCTGGAGGGGGTCGGCGGCAAGAGGGGGGGCGAGGGAGGAAGCTCCCACCGGCCCTCTGAGGCGTGAGCGGTCCGGGGAGCTGCTTCTTCCAACCCTGCGCCTTACCCTTCGGGGAAGGGTTTATGCCTCCCCCTTTCCCCCCTCCCCCTGGGTCTGGACGGGGCGTTCCGCGAGACGTTGGAGCGTCCAAGATGGCCTCGGCGAGGAAGCCACAATCCCTGATGTTACTAAGGTTCTGTCCACGCCTCTTGGAAGGGGGCCTAATTTAGGAGCTCCCCTCCTTTGATCGATTTCCTCTAGAATGGCCCAAGGGCGCCCCACGAGGCCCCCAAGAGGCACCCAAGATGCCCCCAAGAGGCTCCCAAGAGACCCCCAAGAGGCCCTAAGAGGCCTCGGCGAGAAGACTAACATCATTGCTTTTACCTTGGGATTGGTCACATTTTGGCTTCCTGGGGGGGGGTCCCTGATTAATGAGCACCCCTCCTTCGATCGATCTCCTACAAGATGGCCCCAATAGTGCCCCCGAGGCCACCAAGGTTGTCCCAAGACAGCCCCGAGAGGTCCTCATGAGGCCCCAAGAAGCTCCCACGATGCCCCCCAAGATGCCCCCCAAAGGCTCCCAAGATACCCCCAAGAGGCTCCAAAAACCCACCCAGAGGCACCCAAACCGCCCCAAGAGGCCCCTGGGACTGCCAAGAGACCCCATGACGCGCCAAGAGGACCCCAAGAAGCTCTCAAAAGAAATCCGAAGAGACCTTGAGAGGCATCCAAGAGGCTCATGGCCCTTCTGCCCACCCTCCTCCTCCTCCTCCTCCTCCTCCTCCTCCTCCTCCTCCTCCTCCTCCGCTTCCTCATCCGCCTGTTCCTCCTCCTTCCTCGTCTCTCCACTCCCTTCCCCTCTCCCTACTCCTCTTCTTCCTCCGATTCCTCCTCCATCCTCCCCCTCTTTGGGCACGACGTCTTGCCTAGACTTGTATTCCACTGCATTCTTCTCCACATCCCTGATCAGGGCAACTCGTCTGGGCATCGTTTCTGGATGGGCTGGTGGGGGTGCGCGAAGCGTCTAGAATTATGGGAATGCGGCGGAGAAGGGGAGGAATGGAGAACGATGCGGAAGGACGAATATATGAGGAGGGATGGGGAAGGGAAGATACTGAGGAGGACGAGGGGCAGGCGGAGAAACTAGGGAAGAACATGAGGACGAAGAGGGACGGAGAACGTAGGAGTAGGAGAGAGGGAGGAAGGAGTAGGCAGAATGAACAGGAGAATGACGATGGAACGAACGAGGAAGGTTGTACAAAGATGACCTGGATGATTAGAGGGAGGAGTGTGGAATCGTCATGGTGATGATGATGAGGAGGAATTTCATCATGGAGCAGAAACGGATGATTAAGCTGCTGTTGATGATGCTGTTGATGCAGATGCTGGTGATGACGACGATGATGACGAAGATGATGATGCTGATGATGATGCTGCTGATGATGATGATGATGCTGATGCTGATGATGATGATGATGATGATGATGATGATGATGATGATGATGATGATGATGATGATGATGATGATGATCAGGATGATGATGGGGAGGAGGGATGACAAGGAGGCAAAGGGGAGGACGAAGACGAAGAAGAGGCGATGAAGGGAGGGAGGAATGGAGAGAGCAGGATGAGAGGGAGGAGAAGGACGGAGGAGAGGGAGGGAGGGAGGGAACGAGTGAAGGAAGAAAAGAGGAGGAGCTGGGAGGACGTTGGGGGGACGGGGGAGAAGGAAGAGAAGGAGGGGGAAGAGAGGGGATGAGGAAGGAGACGGAGACGACGACCTCGTCGTCTGCTGCCGCGGTGCCGTCAGGCCCCTCCAGGGCCGGAAGGTCCAGCTGGTCCGCATGCAGATCCGCGCCGCGCAGGTGGGCCTGCGCCGAAAGAGGGAGGAGGAGCGACGAAGGAGGAGGAATAAGGGGAGGAGGAGGAGGAGGAGGAGGAGGAGGATGAGGAGGAGGAGGAGGAGGAGGAGGAGGAGGAGGAGGAGGAGGAGGAGGAGGAGGAGGGAGGAGGAGGAGGAGGGAGGAGGAGGAGGGGGAGGAGGAGGAGGAGGGAGGAGGACGAGGACTAGAGGAAGCTCAAGACACATCCAGGATGCTGCAGTTCACCTTCCCCGCTCAAAGTACCCTCCTCAGGTCTTCACCAAGTAGGATCGCCCGCCTGAGAAACGAGCGCCCCATGAACCTGCCGTTCAGGCATCAGCCCTGGTTTGAACAGGGGCCGCCCTCCACTGGTGTACCGTTGGGGAACTGCCAAAGTGTACGAACTCGACGTTTGAAGGAGTCTCCTGCGTCGGCCAAGCTGTCACAGCATGCCCGCCCTCCATCTGTCTCTGCTGCGCATGCTGAAGTTCCTGTGGTCCGCACTGAAGTAAGCCTGTCAGCCATTGCCATTTTCGTCTGCCTCGCCTCTTGCAAAGCAGCAGTTACGGTCAATTGGCGCATCGAGACCATCCATTTGCTGGACCAAGGTCATTGTTTTGCTTCGCGCGCAGAGAAAGAGAGAAAGAGAGAGAGAGAGAGAGCGCGAGAGAGAGAGAGAAAGAGAGAGTACTTACGAGGAGTGCGAGCGCGCATCCCGCCCCCGAAACGGGATTGTGGGGGGTGGGAAGCTCCTGTGCGCGCTTCGCGATGCCCGTGTCCCAGCCCCCCCCACACTGCCTCGGCTGCGCCCGAGAGCGAGCTCCTTCTTCGAACGCGACCTCCGACGCAGCCCCCCCCAAAAAGGGGGAGTGTGCTGGCGATGCGCGTCCACGGGGAATCGCTCCGCGAAGCTGAACATCGCATCGTCGCCCCGCGATTGAAATATCAGGCGAAGACCCGTTGGCCATGCGTCGAGCGCGCGTCGCGCCATGCGCGGTGGCGCAACTGCGCAACTTCGACGACGAAAGTGCTCACGCTCGCGTCGGCGCGCGGCGCCATGCAGACTACTGGTGCGCCGCGTCGGCGACGGGCCTGGCGACGAAATTGCCTGCGTTGGAGTCGGCGCGCGGCGCCAAGCGGCTTCCCTGCTTGCCTGGGCAGCGCTCGCGCGGGCGCAGGCGGAACGCAGTGTATCTCGCTGGGGTCAGGCGCGCGGCGCCCGTCCGATTCGGCGCGCGACTGGCAAGCGCTCGACGCGCGCGGGACGACTCCTCGCGCGGCGTCGGCCGCGTCCTCGGCAAACGGTGTTCGCGCGGCGGTCGGCGCACGGCGCCGGGCGTGGGTGGCGCCTCGCTGCGCGGGGCGGCTGCGTCGCAGCGGCGTCGCAGGCTCAAGCTTATCGCCCCGCGGCCGCGGCGCGGGAGGGGGGGCTGCTCAAGGAGACGTCAGCTGCAACCGCGCTGTTCGCGCCGGGGCCGACGCGCGGCGCCGTGCAGCTTCCTGGCTCTCCTGCACGGCGCTCGCGCGCGGGCGGGCGACGCGCGCGTCGCGTGGCTGGCTGAACACAAGACGTTGCGCCGAGGTCGGCGCGCGGCGCCAGTCCCATGTCTCGCGCTGGGGTCGGCGCATGAGAAGACGCCGGCTGCAGTCGCCGCGCAAGCGCCGCGCGGGGTGGGGTGGGGTGGGGCGCGTGAAAGAAAACGTCAGCAGAGAGCGCCGCGTGCGAGCGCCGCGCAAAGGCGCCGTCGGGACGCGCCAGAGAGCGCCGCGTGCGAGCGGCGGGCGCGCGCGGAACCGCCCTCGGGGCGCGCCAGAATGCGCCGCGCGCGGGCGGGCGCGCGCGGCCAGACTGCGCCGCGTGCGAGCGGGGACGCGCGAGAGTGCTGCCAGGGCGCGCCAATGACTGCCGCGTGCGAGCGGGCGCGCACGAGAGCGCCTTCGGGGCGCGCCAGAGTGCGCCGCGTGCGGGCGGGCACGCCCTCGGGGCGCGGTAGAATGCGGCGCGCCCGAGCGGCGACGCACGGAAGCGCCCTCGCGCCAGAGGGCGCCGCGAACGAGCGGGCACGCACGAGAGAGCCCGCGGGGCGCGCCAGAGTGAGCCAGGTGCGAGCGGGCACGTACATACGGGAGCGCCCTCGGGGCGTACCAGAAATCGCCGCGTGCGAGCGGGCACGCACGGAAGCGCCCTCAGGGACAGGCGCGCAATCTTGGGCGTCTGCAGGTCAAGCGACACCGCGAGGAACGAGGGTATCTTGAAGCCGCCCAGAGCCATGAACGCGCGTTGCGTGGGGTCCCTGCCAAAGGAATTGACGCCAACCAACCACCGAATACGCACCCGACCCTTACAATCACCGAGTAAGCCGGAAGTGCTCATGCTCATGCAGGTGGACACTGGCTTGCATGGGGGACCCCCAGCCATCGACATTATGGAGCGCCAGCGCCCTTGGGACGATCACTTAGGACCTCATGCGAGGGGGAATGGAGTGTTGCTCTGGGTCATGGGAGTACCAAGAGAACGCACGAAGGCCTGATGGCCGTACGGCTTGGCACGCAGCAGGGTGTCGAGTTGGGCAATGAAGTGCGTGACGTGCTCTTGCGAAGATGGGGAAATACTTGATCAGTATTGGCAAAGCGATTCCTGCGACCCGTGGCGAATAGACCTCTGGCATTCCATGTGAACGTTTTCTCATTCGGCGTTGCGGCATTGGGCGGAAGGGGGGGATGGGATGGGGGGGGTCTGGCTCCAGACCTCTGCTTAATGCGACTGTTTGCAACAGTGCGTCCTATGGGGGAGGCTCCACCTGCTCGAAACAGGCGCCCAAAACGGCCAAGATCTGTTCGAGGGAGGGGGGAGGGGGGGGTGCGAGGGCCCGCGCCGATCGGCAAAACAATGAATTCGCCGGCCCAACGGGCCAGGGCGTGCTAAGATCTCCGGTACCTGGTTAACAGCCCAGATGCTGCGCGACCGATCTTTTTGGGTAGCGGATTGATGCGCGCGTGAGAATGGGTAGCGGACCGGAACGAGAGCAAAATGGGTAGCGCGACCGGTTTTATCATGCGTCAATATGGGTAGCGCAATCATGATGCGGGAAACGCAAAATGGGTAGCGATCAACAATCGCGCGCGCTAGTGTTTGCCCCGCAAAAATGGTAGCGAAAAATGGGTAGCAACTAAATGCAACGATAACCGTAAGACAAACGTAAGACAAACGTAAGACACACGTTTGTCTTACGTTTGTTGGGTGTGTGTTTTTACGTGTGTCTTACTTTTGCATTGCGTTTGTAGGGTTGATATGTTTGCGCTTGCATTGCGTGTGTCGTATGTGTCTTAAATGTAATTTCCACTTGTTGTCATGAATTTTCTCTTGCGCATGTTTCCGTGTTTCTTATGTTTCGGGACAACCATAATGCGCGCATCTTCCTGAGGGGCACGAAACATGCGAGGGCTCCCCTCGGCCAGGGAAGGCCATGGCGGGGTCGGCGGGGGCGGAAGTAGGCGTGGGAGGTGGGCGGTGGCAATAAGATTGCGAGGCCGACAGTCTTCTCTCCGCGAGGTTCGGGTCTCTGCCCCGAACGTTAAACATTCACCTGCGTGGGCACTCCCACAGAACACCTAGAAAGAAGGGCGTGAAATCTCGAAGTCCATCCCCCCCGCGAGCGGAGGGACAGGTTTGCAAAATCTAATCTTTCTCGTTTTCGGTATCCTCTTCGCTTTCGGCATCTCCTCCAACCTCACCCTCTCTCCGCCATCCCGTTCCTTCTGCCGTCGCTCCCCGTCCCCGCCCTTGACCCCCCCCCCCTCGCGCGCCCTGTTCCTACCCCCCCCACCCCACTCACCGCTCCCGCCCCATCGCCCTGCTGACTTGTTCCCCACCCGAGTGCCGCGGCGGCAACTGGCGGAGCCACTGATCTACCTTCCAATCCTCCAGCGTTCGCACAGTTTGCGGCTGCATTGCAAGGACGAAGAGCCAATTTGCACCGTCCCTGCTATTTTTACAACGTGTCGCATGAAATCTTCTGCCATGTAGCACCAAAGCCACCTCGGGTTCAAATGCGTGGCGGCTTCTGCAATGTGCCACCACATGTGGTGTTTGTTAACTATGGACCATTTTTTCCTATGTTCATCTGTCATCGAATGCGACGCGAGGGCATGATACATGATGAGCGATGTTTCGACGGCGTCTTGCAACTTTTGTGCAACGGCCGCGTCCAAAAACATTCCAGATGAATCTAAGCAATCGTAGTATGTGCATAACGATTCGCAACAAAGGGTTCGCATTCTTCTAAGATCAGAACCGTCTTCATAATCCTTGCTCAGTTGACATATCACGGGAGCCAGCCAGCGCTGTTGCGCTGCTTTGATTGCTTTCTTTAAAACGGGGTACTGGCTATGTGGACTTTTCAGATTCGCAATGAAACTGCCCAACCCAAAATGTCCGCCCGCCAGGGGCACCCTAGCTGTCGGGCACGCGGCGTTTCTTCTTCCCCGTTCCGTGCTCCCTTCTCCCCCATCATCAGCGTTCCTTTTCTTGTTGTCTTCCCTTTTCCCCACCCATTTTTCCATCCCCATCCCCATCCTTGAGTTGACCGCCTCCTTTTACCTATCCTCTCACCCTTTTCCTGAGTGCCGCATACATTTCCCCCCTTTTCCCTTCCCCTCCGCCCTCCTCACCCTCTCCCCCCCTCGCCCAGGGGTCTGTCGGGCGCGCGTCTGCAGGGGTAAGTGATCCTGTGGGGAATGTTCCGTTCGTCGTAAATCTTTCGAATACGTCTCCAGATCACAGCGCACGCCTCTGCGGGTGATTCGTCCCGTTGTTCATATATGATCTCTTTCAGGATATTCCCTAAGATATGCGAACACGTTCCTTGATCCACCGTGTGCATTGAACCCAAACAAATTGATTCGCCAGTGACGCCCCACACACGGAACACATGATGTGTAAAAACATATGGCACCCGCCGTCGAAATCGCATCCAGTGCCGAGGGAATTGCTCTTTGATAAAATTGTT